TCTGCCTGTTGATTACGCTAAATAAAATTAATTTTTAAATTATCCTCCAATTTACTCCTCTAAAAATCAAGTTAAGATTTATTTTAGTTAATATTCGCTGCCTCTTTGTAAACTTAAATAAAAACATTTTCATTATATACAATGAATGCATTAATACCTATACTCGGTAGGATATCTGGCGGAAATTGATTCACAAGAAGCTATTGTTGATTTGATAGCCTTGCTGAATTTTCAAAAGAAAAAGGATATATATACAAAGCGTAAAAAAACATATTGGGGGGTGGGGTGGGGGGTGGGGGGGGGGTAGTCCTTGGCTTCTAAATTATCTTTATACTTTCGACTTTTCAGATCTGCGATTTCAACGGTAATGAGGGGGTCTGCCTTTTCCAGAAGGGAATACAAGGTCACTTTTATTTTGCAAATTCCGGCAAGAATCCGCTCATGAAGAAAACAAAACAAAAAGAAAAAAACGGTAAGATATCAACACATAAGAAAATATATATAAAAAAAAGAAACTAAAGGACTGATTGTGGGTTTACGCCTTTTACGGGAATTTTCAATAATATTAGACGTAATAAGCTTAAAAAGAAAAATGTCTAAAACCGGTAATTATTTCATTGAATTATTATGATACTGGTCATTTGAAAGCATATACAGGTGAATTTCCTTTTTCTTAAAATCAGTATAATTTTTCTTTTGCTCTGTATACCGGATATTCACGACGTCAAGCGTGACGTCGCGATATTTTATGACGTTGTTCTGAAATATGCTACATTTTTCAATATAAAAGCAATCATCTTTAAATAAATACTACAAAATGAACCCTAAGACACACTAATTTTTTCACATAGATTTAATTCAAATCAATTCTATTTTTAAATAACAAAGGATAAACAAATTTGTCTGCACGAATTAAAAGTTATCAATATTTTTTTAAATCTAAACCTTGCCTGAAAACATGCCAAAAATGACGTTTCTCCTATACAATTCAATAGAATACGTAAAAAATATTACTACAACAACATCTTTGAAATTCAATTACACATAAACGGTGCAGACGAATTTTATAAAATTTTCAGAGAATGGAAATCAAAGGTAGAGAAATCAGATAAGTAAATTTCATGATATATTTTCGAACACTTTTAAAAGCCCTGTAAACCCGCCACCTACGTTAATCTATGAATTATACAGCAAGTTCTCTGTTGCTAATAACATGAACAAATAGAGACTTATTCTTTGAGAACCAGTTACCGGGACCTTGGGTAGGTCAAAGGAAATATAATGTAGAAATGACTATCAATAAGAGAGAGAGAGAGAGTTGTCAATATGAGCACGAGTTCTGATTTTCCCTCCGAATGCTGCACGTCCTGAGCGTTCAACGTTTCTGACGTTAAGATATAACAACTTATGCTTTAATCTTCCGAACCCCTCCGTGTTATGGTGTTTTGCACATGATAGAATTCAACACATATATGTGTTATGTAAATATTAAATCTATTACGGGTCTCCTTCATTCAAAATTACACATCTTTACCGGATCTTCTTGTCTAGGAATTGCATCTATATTAAGTCTCCCTAATTCAAAATTACATCTCTTTCAGAATTACAAATCTATATTGAGTCTCCTTAAATCAGAATTACAAATCTATATTGAGTCTCCTTAAATCAGAATTACAAATCTATATTGAGTCTCCTTAAATCAGAATTACAAATCTATATTGAGTCGCCTTAAATCAGAATTACAAATCTATATTGAGTCTCCTTAAATCAGAATTACAAATCTATATTGAGTCTCCTTAAATCAGAATTACAAATCTATATTGAGTCGCCTTAAATCAGAATTACAAATCTATATTGAGTCTCCTTAAATCAGAATTACAAATCTATATTGAGTCTCCTTGAATTACAAATCTATATTGAGTCTCCTTAAATCAGAATTACAAATCTATATTGAGTCTCCTTAAATCAGAATTACAAATCTATATTGAGTCGCCAGTCTTCAGAACTACATCTCTTTATCGAATCTCCTTAATTCTGAATAACCCATCTTTATCGAATCTCCTTAATTCAAAATCACGAATCTATTCCAAGTCTCTTTAATTCAGAATAGTATCTATATAAAGTCTCCTTAATTCAGAATTACATCTCTATACAAAGAGCCCTAAATTACTTATCTGTATTCAGAATTACTTATCTATACCACGTTTCATAGTTTTGGATTACATTTCTATACCGAGTCTCCTTAATTAAGAGAAAATTAATTTAAATAGTACTTTTTTATTGCTTTTACCTATTGCATAAAAAATATGCATAATGTTTCTATTAATTTAATAAAAACCATGTTAAATTTAGTAAAAATCAACGGTAAAGGTTTAAAACATGTCAATCCAATGACAGTTAAGTTCATTTTCTCTTGTTTAATGTATCTTTAGTCCTCTGCATCTTTAAACCTTATTTTAAAGAAGTCAATCCATTAAGACGCATGTTTTTTTCCTATTCGTGTAGTTGTTTTCTCCGTCGTTGATTTCTTCCTTATTCCTTCAAGCAGTATTTTTATATACTTACTGCTACTTAATATTAAACAAAAATTAAAGTGCAGCCAAGGCTTAACGAAAAAGAAAAAATAGATTCAAGAAATAAAAACCATCATTCTCTGTATTTTTGACTTTTTTTCCTATTTGATTTATTTGTCTCACAATAACGATTTCACTAAATCATTCACCATTCAACAAGGCAGTGATGTCACTCTAATCTTGGGAATTCAAACTTTAGTACAATTAACATCCTTTTTACGATATATTTTAAAATAGTTTTCTTTGTTACATCAATAACAGAATTTTTTAATACGCACATATATCCCATCAAATTTATTTTTTGTAAATGCCTGTTTGTTAAATAAAATACCAGAACTTAAGTTATGAATGTTGATTTGAATATTAATTAAAATTTTTTTTTTTATTAAATCATCAATAATATGCTAAATGGGGCAAAGCTCTATGAATTATACAACTCGTTTTCTGTTGGTGGTGAAACGAACAAAGTTATACAGACTTTTCTTTCAAGACCAGCTACCGGGACCCTGGAAAGATAAAAGGAAAAATGTGTAAATGAACAGCAATAAGCATGAGGAGAGAGAGAGAGAGAGAGAGAGAGAGAGAGAGAGAGAGAGAGAGAGAGAGAGAGAAAAGAGAGAGAGAGAGAGAGAGAGAGAGAGAGAATAGATGCTCATTTTTCTAGTCAATTTGAGCGGAAGTTTTGATTTTTCCTTCTCAACCTTGCACATCCTGAGCGTTCAAATTTGTGACGTTAAAATATAACTCATGCTTTAACCTTTTGAACCCCTTTCCGTGTTATGGTGTTTTAAATGCCATAGAATTCAACACAATTTCGTTTCGAAACACGTGTCATGTAAATATAAATCTATACCAAGTCTCCTTAATTCAGATTTACATCTCTATATTGAGTTTCCTTAATTCAGAATTACATTTCTATATCCTTAATTAAGAAAAAAATTGAATAGTACTGTTTTATTGTTATAGATGTTATTTGCTTTTTTTCTATTGTATTATAGCAAAAAAAAAAAAAAATAAAAATAAAAAAATCACCAAATATTTCAAATATTTTTAATTGTTTTTATTTGTATAATAAATAGTAAACTTGTTAGTGTATCTTAAGTCTTTTCCTCTGAATCTTTCACCCTTGTTTTTAAGAAGCCAATCCATTAAGATGTAGGTTTTTTTTCCATCGTGGAATTTTTTCCTTTTTTCTGAAAACAATATTATTATTTACTTACCACTACCTATTTTTATAAATTACAAATGAAAGTACAGTCAAAACCTAACGAAAAAAAAAATATATTCAGGAAATCAATTTTCTAGCAGGATCAGATGCATAAAATTAAATATTTAATTTTAAAAAAAAACACCATTCTCCTTATTTTTGTTTTTTCTCTTTCTAATTTACCTATCTTACAATTTGGTTGATACATTAATCTTTTAACAAGGAAGTGATATCATCCTTATCTTAGGCATTCCAATTTAAGTAAAAAAAAAACATATTTTCTTCTTTCTAATTTATCTGAAAGAAATACAGTTTTTATTGTTTTTTCCGTTCGATCGTATAATATTTCACAGTACAAAAAATATAATATGCTCTGCCAAAAGTATAATATATGCATTTAAGAAAAAAATAATAATAATAGAAAACTTTGAAAGCATTTTCACGAACATGCATCCAACCCCTTCAAAATTAAACATGATGAATGATAAATCAAATATTAATGCACGTACATATTTCAATTACACCGAAAATATCTTCTTTTAATTTTTATTGTAAGTAGCGAAATATTTAGGAAAAATTTTAACTTCCCGTTTTAAAGGTTATATAAACTACGGATTGTTTTACGGAAGCTTATTTTCAGACAGCGCACAAGTAAAACCATGGCAGGATTTTGGGCGGTTATCTGCATGTGCGTCTTGTTCTTTTGTGCGGCTAGATCCCAGCCAATTTATTTCAATGAAAAAAATGGATGCGTCTGTAATGATCAGACGATACAGACATTGAACAGAAAGATTGACTCCATAAGACAGGAGAACGCCGGACAAATTGATTCCTTAAAACGAGAAAACGCGAGACAAATTGATTCCTTAAAACGAGAAAACGCGAGACAAATTGATTCCTTAAAACGAGGAAACGCGAGACAAATTGATTCCTTAAAACGAGAAAATACGCGGATTACTGTTAATCAAAAGAAAATTCAGGAAGAATTAGATGAGATGGTTAACATCCTAAGGAGGAATGAATCCAACATCCACCAAGGTTTGAAGAGCAGTATACTGCAAACAATCAAGTCAGGTAACTCTCTCCCACTCTCTCTCTCCCGATTTTTATTTTATATTAATATTTTATATTACGATTATTATCATATCTCTCTCAGAGTATATTTTATATTACGATTATTATCGTATCATATTTTTTATTTTTTTCTCTTTCAGAGTTACACAAATATAAAGACTGCAAGGACCTCTACATACATATCCATGGTAATACAGACTCTGGTGTGTATGAGATATATCCATTTGGTAATAATAGCAAGATCAGCGTCTTCTGTGACATGGTGACAGAAGGTGGAGGGTGGACAGTAAGACTCTCTTTATCCTTCTCTCCTTCCTCGCTATCTCTCTTTATCAATGCATGAAGATTTTGTTAAAAAAATCATTACTTAAAAATTGCAGATATTAAAACTAAAAAAAAAAAATTAAATCGGTTTCGAGTGATTGTTTTAATGAATAACTTATTTGAAGCATTGTTCAAAGTAAAACGTAGCAAAAAAAAATCACTACTTTCTTTAATAAACCCGACATAACTCATAAATCCTTAGGCTATCCAGAGACGTGTGAGTGGTTCAGTGTCATTCGACAGAATGTGGTCCGACTACAAGAATGGATTTGGTTTCCCTAACGACTCCTACTGGATAGGTAAATTATATACAGTAATGGAATGACTACAGAGGACATAGCAAATTATGGCTCCCCAAGGGTTAGGGTTCCAGATGTAGAAACCGGGAACCATGAATTTGCTATTTACATTGTACACATTCCATAGCTGTACAATATCTTATGTTGTGTAAAGGGATTATAATTATTCTAATAATTAACAGTTTTAATTAGTATTTTATTTTTTTTTATCAGTTTAAATGAAGTTTATAACAATTTATGTAAAAAGCAATATATAATGATTTCCGTTCTTTGATTTCAAAATATTTACTTCATTGCTGCATATACTACCGGTACACAATTAGAAATTTCTGCATACCTTCACAATCATATGTTGAATTATATGACAACATGAAATAAATATGTTTTGCTTTATTTATTCTTTATATATTACACAACGATCAAATATTTAAGGAAATGACGTTATACATCAACTTACCAAGGGAAGGAACTCCTCCCTCTACGTCTCCATCACACTGACTAATGGGACAAAGCTCTATGAGTTATACAACCAGTTCTCTGTTGCTGATGAAACCAACAACTACAGACTTTTTCTTGGAGGAACAGCTACCGGAACACTGGGTAGGTAAAAAGAGAAAAGAATGTACGAATGACGACCGACAAGGAGAGAGAGAGAGAGAGAGACAGAGAGAGAGAGAGAATTTAATTTCTTGTGACAAATAGACAACTCTTTTTCTTAGAATCAGTCCTATTGTAAGTTAATTATTGGGGATGGGGGATGCGTGAATATCGAAAGTCATTTTTTTTCTTGTAATTTGAAAATCGACAGTCCATTCTATATGAGCCAATCAGTAAAAAAATTGCTAAAAGTATTGGAGAAGGATATTACGTCATAACCACTACGTGTGTACTTTTACTTAAATCTGTCAGATACATAACTCATTCGTAAGAAATCAATTAGGTGATAAATAATCATTGAATTAAAAAAAAAACCTGTATTGGAAATGTAATTAATTCCAGTCGATAACAATGAATTTTTGTAATTATCCCACTTTAAATATATAAATATTTATATTTAAATAACAGATTTTAAAAACCAATACAACAATAAAAATTAAAGAAGTTAATTAGATAAATTACATCTACTTGCACAAATTTGAAAAATTCCGAATAATTAGTGTGTTGATAAAATTGAAGAAAAACCTAATCCCACCTCTGATGATTCGGGGCTCCGTGTTTGCTCTTCTTTTATTTTGTATCGTTTTATGGACTTTGAGATTGAATACTGTTCGTTATCTACATATCCTTCTTCACATTAATGAAATAATAGTGCAATTAATTGACGTCCCCCGCGTGGCGCGGTGGGTAGAGCCGCAATGTAAGGAATCGATCTTTACGTCGCGGTTTCCAATCACACCATAAGAGAGCAGATTGGTCCTTCAGATTGGATCGTATAAACAGGGTCCCGTGTTGCAATAAGTGCTGGCACGAAAAACGTCCCTCAGTGCTCAATGGCTCTGTGTTACATATATCATAGAACAAAATTTCTAGCTCTTAACCGGCAAGTGATGGCGTCACCATATGAGTGAAAAATTCTCGAGAGGGAGGTTAAACAGCATACAATCTATGAATCAATCAATCTTTTTATTTCTGTTAAGATTCACATCATGTGCGTATACAGTCAAAATAAGAAATCACTTGACAGACAACAGAAAAACAAAGAAAAATGTTTAATGAAAGATGTGTTGTTTATTGTAATTTATTATATACCTAATGTGTATCACACAATTTTACCGTTGAATTTAAGCTATCACGTGACGTCATGGACCAATATTCCGGATCACCAACGTGTTGTTTTCTGAATCCATATCACCACTCTCTGAAACTAATGACGTAGTACGCAGAAACATGACGTTGTTTTTCTTGCGTTGAAAAGTCCATCATTATTATGCTTTGTATTATGGATAAATATTATACAATTGATCTCTTAAGTTTTATTTAGCTATAGTTTGCTTGTTATGAGGGGGTAAATAACAATTTTATCATTATAACAGTAACTTGATCCGAAGAGCCGTATCACGTCTTGTTGCCAGGCGCAGATCATCAGATCAAAGTCTATGTTCGCGTCTCGTTAGATCTGATGATCCAGTCTGTCAACTCGACGCGATACAACCCTTCGGATCAAGTTACTGTTATAATAATATATACGTATTGTAGTTAAAAGCGATACAATATTAAACAATTCAAAGAGTTTTTAATATTGAATATTATAGATTTTTTCCTTAAGCTTTAATTTTTTACGTAAACAATAATGATCTAATCTGAAATAAGTGTCCATGTAATATTTTTCTTTGATTATTGTACAGGTGACGCTATGTTAGGTACTGTATTTTCTGACTACGATCTGTCTGGGATGGCCTTCTCCACCCCGGACAGAGATAACGACGCGTGGAGTGGTGGTAACTGTGCTGTTGTCTTTAACATGAGAGGAGGCTGGTGGTTTAACTCTTGTCACCTCGCCTTCCTTAACGGTCCTTGGTCCTCGACATACTGGTACTTACCATGGGCTCCCACGGTGAATGATGGTAGAGAGATAAAGGAGACTCTGATGATGATAAAACCTCACTGAATTTTTATATCTTAAATCTTTATACCCATTCTTGTTCACGCAAGTTATGAAAAGTTAAGCACTTATGTCTTACAATTTATATCCATAGTTGTGCACACATGTTTAAGCAAAGTTAAACATTTTAATAAATGATAGACTTTATTCTTGACATAATGATGGTATCAATAGTATATACTATGAAGTAAATATATAGATTTAAAATTGCCATGTTTACATAATTTATTGTAAAATCCTAATATGTATTATGTTTACATATAGTGTTATACATGTAACCTTACTTCCTAAAACAAGAAAATCGCAATGAATATTTGTACATATTAACAATTTTGTTTTTTATATTATTATTACTCGTTACTCAATAAATGCCTGGAAATGTTCAAAAAGACTACAAAACAAAATAGATTATGAAATCGATATAATATAGTTTTAACCAAATCGTATCTATTTAAAACTTTTATTTTGAATTAGTACTAACTGAAATATGTGTCTTTAGAAATAGACGTAAAGGGGAGATTTGGATTCTGTTTTCGATGAACACATTTATTAATTTATGTGAAATGTCAAAATTCTAGGTATATTGAATTAAAGCTTCCTCAAAAATGGAAGCTACATGTAATTAAATAATAAAAAAATCATTCAAATTCAAAAGCATATTTCTTTAAATAAAATAAAAAATAATGTTATATTTGTTTTTCAAAATCAACAGTAAACGTTTAAAATATGTCAATACCTATGACAGTTACATTCTTTTTCTCTTGTCTCTTTTATCAACCAACTCTATTAATATTTATCTATCTTATTTATATACGATGGGACTAACTTACAGGAATGAAGATATCGTGGATTTTTTAACTACATTTTTTTGCTTTTTCTTTCCGATTTAATACATCTTCAATTTAATTTATCTTTATTGTTTTCTTCTACATCTTTAACTCGTGTATTGGAATAACCAATCCTTTAGCATGTAAGTTTTCTTTCTATTTATGTTGTTGTTTATTCCGTCTTGGAATTTCTTCCTTATTCCTTAAAACAATATTAAAATTTATTTACAGTTACTTATATATAAAAATAACAAATTAAGGTACATTCATAAATTTACAAACAAAAATATATCCAAGATATGATTTCTTTAGCAGGATTAAATGCATAAATTTTAATATTTAATGGGGAAAAAACATGATTCGCCTTATTTTTTCTTTGTGTCATTTTCTAATTTACCTGTCTCACAATAACGATTTCACTGATACATTCATCGTTCAACAAGGACGATATATCACTCTTATCTTGGGAATTCAAACTTTAGCACAATTAATATCCTTTTTATGATATATTCAAAATAGTTTGCTTTGTTTACATCAATCACCGATTTTTTTTTAAATACGCACATATATCTCATCTTTTTTTGTAAACGCCTGTTCGTAAATAGCATATCAGAACTGAAAAAAAAAACATTTTTAAAATTTAAAGAACAGAAGTTCTGCGCAGAATAATTTTTAAATCATTTACTTTACACTGAAGTACAAACAAATTTATTAATGATGTAAGCAATAAGCAAATACATGCAGATTATGGGTAGGTAAAGATGTTTCCTATACGCAGTACTCTTTAGCTTCCAGGAGCTTTAAATGCATTTAAAATATAAAACTACATTGCAAAGTTGATTTTGAGTTTTATTTTTAAGTTGTGTTTGCTATTGAAATGCACTCTCAACCACTATTGATATAATTATTTCAATAGTGGTTGTATTTCAATAGTGGTTACTAACTATGTTTGCTATTGAAATGCACTCTCAACCACTATTAATATAATTATTTCAATAGTGGTTGTATTTCAATAGTGGTTGCAACATACGTCATTACATAGATAATAAAAAAAAAATAATAAATTATAAATCATACGATTGATTTAATAGTTTATTACAACAATCCTTACATGGAAAACATAGATCAAAAACCTTATCGAAAAACAGATGTTCCTGACGGAAACCTGTTGTAAAGTCACCTTTGAAAGAAATAAATTTATCTGTTATATCTTATTATGAAGAGACTTCAAACCCTAGTATTTATTTTCATTAGTAGAAGTTTAAGTCATATATATCTTTCAAAAATTAAGAAATTAATTGAATATAATCCATAACAATTTTTATATTAATATGCATATTAAGAGAATTAAGGAAAATCAGATATCTTTAAAGATTTTTTTAAAAGGAAATTAAGTAAAATATTGCCCGTCTGTATAGGTACATTGTTGTGAAAAAAGCTCAGGTTTGTTCGTCATGAGTTAAACATGTAAGCGATAAATTTAATTTTTCGAAGATGATTTCACGCAATATCATCAAAGGATTATTTATTGTGTGACCTAACAGAAATTATTTTTTAAACATTTGAATTTTGATATCTTTTAAATTTTCCAAAAAGAAAAGGAATATATTTTTTACCGATTAGAATCAGACTAAGCGGCTTTAAAAAATGAGGTAAAATGTGTAGAGAAAATTTCTGAAGTACTAGAAGGGGGTTAAAAGGACAAACTTTATTTTATTTCAAAGAAGTTAGCACACCCATTCACACAATAGAACAATCCAAGGAAAAGGCACAGAGAAAGCTTACTGTGATATTTGGCGGAAAAGATCAAAACACCCCTTTTGTAGAATATAAATGGACTGATCCAGTAGTACAGAAATGCAGAAAAAGAATAAACTTTCATGTTGAAACATTGAGTATTAATTGTTCCATGCAAAAAGATGAAAGGAAGTAAACACTACAGTATTTTGAATCAGTAGTATCATTCTTTTTTCTGAAAACTGTTTCTTTTAAAATGCAGTTAAAGAATTCCAATTTAAATCAGCTTGCACAAAATCTAGCCCTCTAGGTATGATGTATAAGTTTCGGATTTTGCAAATATCAATCCTTTTACAGCCTGACGCCCTGACTTCAGACAATCAGCTTGATAGGTTTGTTTCTTTTAACGTTTGTGAAATGCTTAAATCAACAGAATAAGGATTTTATTAAAAGCTTTACAGATTTCTTACATTATTAAAATACAGTTAAATATTTCTTTCGATCGGTCTTATAATAAACATGTAATACACGATGTCACTTTTGAATTATTACTACTTTATTTAAATCAACAGTTAGGTCTACATCATATATGCACAAAATTTTACTCTGTCCCTATGAAACTTTTAAATAGTATATATTCTTTAAAAGGTCAGGAAAGTCCTAATTTGATTCCATGACACCAGAATATAGGCTCGGATATATGATTATGGATACTGCAAATCATAGTCTTTTGATACCAGCACTTTTTACAGAATAAATGCAGTTAAAGCAAATCCGTCTGTTCCTTAAACTTCAGTATGCCAATAAGGGAATTGACGTGTAAACCGGTTAATATAAATAATATTAGAAAATCAACAGTCTCGTTTAAAGTCATCATTTCGTAAATTCTATGGTCGATACAATGACCTTGTCAGCAAATACAATTTATCATTGAGTCATATGCTGACTGACGTTTTTCATACCAATTGTTAGTCCATTATTTATACACAGAATTGACGACGGATTTTTTCCGCTATTTCCTGATCATGACAACGAGCACACGGCGGGTGTGACCGGTCGGCAGGGGATGCTCACTCCTCCATGGCACCTGATCCCACCTCCCATGTTTCAGAGGTCCGTGTTTGCTCTGCTCTTATTTTGTATATTGTTTAATGGACGTTGAGATTGAATACTGTACGTTATCTCCATATCCTTCTTCTTAATCAAAAAAGGGTGCAGTCTTAGATGACTCCATATTTCAAGTAAAAGACTACACATCGTATTTCCAACAAATATACATCGACCCTTGCTTTCAAAATTTTCAATTACAAAAAAAACTTTACATGGCCTGGATATCGAGTTACTGAAACATAATCCTCCATAGAGTTCATGTACTTTAACATCCTTTAACTACAATCCTTCATTACAGGTGACATAATATAGTTGATATAGAGGACCTTGAATCACTTATTTGAAAAGATGTCACAATTTCTTAAACGAGGTAAATTATTGACAATTAAGTTGATGAAGCAAGAATATCATCAGTCTTGTTTAATCCCAGATGCAATGAATAGAAACAAAATTAGCTTTAATCACATTTATTGTAAAACAATATTACATTTCGTGGCAAGTATTTGTCACAATCTATTTATACATAGATGTAAATACCCCGGCGGAATCCAGAGAATCACTACCTGCCTACCGGGATTACCTCCCTACTGACCTGGCGCGATAGCGCACCCACAGGTGACTGTGGTGGGAACAGACCTCTTGGAACCCACAAGAGTGAATGCCACATGGAATGAATGAATTCAAGTTCTGACCCAGGTCCTCACTCTATACCTGTCTCCCCTGGAATACAACAACAACATGGGGATAACACCCCCAGGGGTAGCTGGGTACCTTAGACCCCCAAAACCTGCCCTTGGTACCACAAGGATCAAGCCGGTCCCTCAGGTACCGCTGAGGTAACCCCAAAATCTTCCCCAGTTCTGAGGATAGATTACCCAGAGTTTTGAGCCAGACATGGTAGAAATCATCATTCGTGGTAATCCCCGAACTCCGCCGCCCCCAACCCAGATTGTGACTTCAAGAACGTTACCATAATCCCAAAATTATATGTATACAAGCTTTGTTGCTTGCGATACTTTAAAAAAAAGTAATTAACACTGTACAGTGTACATAACACATAATTATCAATGATCACCAATGACACTGACTTTCTGATTATATATCACACCTTAGAAATTTCCAATAAAACTCAGTATTGAATCATTTGTTACAACAGAAAATGTCCGATGGACACCAAACGGTCCCCACCATATACATAATGACCACATCCATCCTTTGATTCCGATTCCAACCGTTTGGGTGTTCCACATACACAACACTTTCCATTAAGGAATATGCTTCTGTCACTGAAATTACAGAAGAGAAAACAAAAAAATCATGTACACAAATTTTAGGGAAGGGTGGGTGGGTGAAATTTTGCAACATGTCTACCCTTCTAGCTTTTTCGGTAGATTATGACAATCAGCGTCATAAGGTGCTTGATAATATTACGTCATCTA